TGATGATGCCGAAGATGAGGAGGACGAGGAGGAGCAGGACGACGAGGAGGAGGAGGACGAGGAGGAGGAGGACTCGCTTGAACGAGGAAGGTCGCGGACAGCATTACTCTTTACCAGGTTTCGTAGGCCTCCCCCCTTCCAGCGGGGCCCCGCCAGAGCGAAGAGGGTATCAACAACCCGTACTATTTACAAGGCTTCGTTTCCTGAGCACCTGTCCTCCCTCCTCCTTTCTTTCGTCTGCCCTTTCGTGCGTACTTACTCGTTCGATGAGCTTCTCCTTCGTGTTGATGTTGTCGTACCCCATGGGTCCCACGAAACTGTTAATATTTTTTATGTGGGGAACTGCGTTTGCATAATTTTACCATTGATTGGACTGCAATCGATTCCACTGGGTTTGCACTTGATTGGCTTGCAACCGATTGGATTGCAACCGCTGGGGGGGCGCACAGGGCAGCGACGAGGAGGCGGCGACGGGACGGTGACGGCGACGAGCAAGGAACCGCCAGACCGACCCTCAGGCCAAGACGACGGGCGGCGACGACGCAGCAAGGGGGGGCGACGGCAAGGACGGAAAAACCAGACCGCCCCTCAAGCCCAGACGACGACGGGCGGCGACAGGGCGGCAACGGCGAGGAGGAGAGAGCCGCCAGACCGCCCCTCAGACGACCCAGCTAATATTAGGAAAGAAGAGAGAAGGCCCCCTAAGTGCAAGCACTGTTTGGGAAATGTCATGATGTTCAATGTCAATGATGTTTTTCATCCGGTGCCAGTGCTGGCGCCGGCGCCGGTGCCGGTGCCGGTGCTGGTGCCGGTGCGGTTGCGGGTGCGGGTGCCAGTGCCGGTGCTGGCGCCGGCGACGGCGACGGCGCTGGTGCCCGTGCCGGTGCCGGTGCTAATGCCGCCGGCGCAGGTGCCGGTGCCGGTGCCGGTGCCCGGTGCCGGTGCCGGTGCCGGAGCCGGTGCCGGTGCCGGTGCCGGTGCCGGTGCCGGTGCCGGTGCCGGTGCCGGTGCCGGTGCCGGTGCCGGTGCCGGTGCCGGTGCCGGTGCCGGTGCCGGTGCCGGCGCTAGTGCCGGTGCCGGTGCCGGTGCCGGTGCCGGTGCCGGTGCCGGTGCCGGTGCCGGTGCCGGTGCCGGTGCCGGTGGGCGAGAATCGCTCGGGGGAGGGAGAGGGTGGCCGAACGAGTCGCCATGCCCTCAGCCGCCGCCGCCGCTTAATCGCTCGGCCCCTGCTTCCTTTCCCGCCGCCGCCGGGTCGTTCGGTCCCCACTTCCCTATTACATGCATGTTGAAACGTGCACATAGCACGTGACCGCATTCAGCGGGAGGTTGCGGTCAACGCAATTGTCGTTGAAGTTGTACATGAGGAAATTACACACGAAATTGAATATACCTGCGAAAGGTTGCGGTCGGCGCATGTCCTATCACATTCCGATTTAAAAGTGCATGGCGTGTTACATACTTCTGCGGGAGGCTGGGCTAGCGAGTTTCGCACTGCACCTACATTTTCAAAGCGAGTGAACTCTGATGCGATGGTGTTGGGTGCTGGTGACAGCTCGTGTTTTTGCGATCTGCGCACATGTCACTTGCCTTTCGGCTTCCCTATGACATTCGAAGTGCTTCTATTTGCACGATGGGGTTCTCATGGCCAGCCATCTCGTTTTCTGATGCATACCTGCATTTTGTCTTGAGTATTGTTTTGTTAGCCTATGGAATTCCCGCAGCTCTCACATAAAAGCCACGTAACGCGAAGCTTTGCGCAGCTGCCGTACGAAATTAGTTAGGCTCTCATATGCCAGCCGTAAGTCTCCAGTACAAATGACGACCGTAGGTGATTTTTGAAGCAACGCCGCTCTTAGATGTCAGACAGTCAACTTACCAGTTCCACGGGGGGGCACTCGTGTTGTCTTCCAGAATGAATATCTCTTCTGAAGATGTGCGTTTGATTTCTGAAGCGTTTTAGAACGCTATACACGTGGAATCCTCGCGTCGGCTCCAGATGACTTGTTGCAATTGGTATCTGTTGGTTCGTTGGTCGGCTGAGAAGTGGCTCGGTCGGATGTAATTCGTACCAGTCGGGTGGGATTCGTCCGACACGCGGGGGGGGAATCCCACCCCCAAAACGGGACAGCTTGGATCCGTGGCCCCAGGGGGCCCCTGCACGCCCCTGAAGAAAGTCCGAATGGAAGCCCATCCTGGGCCTAGGCAGCGGGCCTAGATCGGTCAGCAGGGCGGCCGAGCGCCCCCGCGAGAGCTCCAAGGGGCCCCAGACACCCAGCAGACGCCCCATGACGACGAAAAAAAACCTTCAAAAGGCCATCGATATGGATACCAACGTTGTTCCTTCATTGCTTTGTATTTCATTTGGGGAATGCACCGTTCTTTGGTCTTCAGGGCGTCCGAGACCGCCCAGGACGACAGACAATCGCTTCCAACTGTCCAAAAGGATTTCCAGGCAGTCCAAAGGATCTCCAAGACGGCCCAACAGGACTCCGAGATGGCCCGAAGAGAGCTACATGATGGCCCAAAATGGCCCCAACGCACCCCCGAAGCATTCCAAATCGTGACCCGGTCGTTCAGGGAGACCGCGGTTGGAAGCAAGGCTGCCCGAGGAAGCCTTCAGGAGGAACCCATGGGGTCCCCAGAAGGCCCCACGAAGTCTTTGAACATTATCGTTCAGTCCCTACGAGACTCTCCAAGGAGGAACCTCCGCAAGAAAGAGCTAAGGAGGATGGGGGCGTATTTGCAGTGTACGGCGAGAATGCGGAAGAGGAAGAGGAAACATCAGGAAAGGATCGCCCATAACAGTACAACGGCGATGTCAGAACCACAAGACAACTCGCCGCTGGGGCCCCACCGCCAGCCCAAATGGCGAACACAAGTCGGGCGTAGCCCCGCACGCATTCGAATGCTCCACACTTCGTCCTCGTACTACTCGTATTCCTCCCCGTCCTCCTCCCCATCCTGATCATCGTCGTCCTCCTCCTCGTCCTCCTCCTCATTCTCCTCGTCTTCCTCGTTTTTCTCCTGCTCCAGCTCCTCCTCGTCGTCCTCGTCTAAGACCCGCGCCATAGGTTGCGCCCTCGGCATCGTAGAATGGGCGATTGATGCAAAACTCGCCAGACCCCACTGTGCCGATGTGCATCGGAACCTGAGATCGATAGTACGTGTTCGGCAGAGCGGCCGATGGCGGACATGTCGAAGGCAATGGAATGCAAGGGGGGAGGAGGGAAAGGACGGAGAAGGGCGCGGGATGGGGTCGAGAGCTCCTGGATGGGGGGGTGTTCCCATCCGAAGGAACAATGCACCCCCCCTCCCCCAATTACGACAAAGTACAAGCTGTTTGGGAAAAGAAGACCCTGACCCCCTCCCTACCCCCCTCCGCGGCCTGAGTGGACCAGTGGACCACTCGGGCCAGCGGAGGGCGTCATAGAGGGCCGGGGGCCCTTACGTCGTAGGGGCCGGGGGCCCTTACGAGAATAAAACCGTCTCCTATCGGTTGCGCCATAGGTTGCGCCCTCGGCGGTCGGGAGTAAAACCGTTTCCTAACGGTTGCGCCATAGGGTGCGCCCTCGACGGCCGAGAATACAACCGTCTCCTATCGCTTGCGCCATAGGTTGCGCCATCGGTGGCCGAGAATAAAACCGTCGCGTGTAGGGTGCGTCATAGGCTGCGCCCTCGGCGGCCGAGAATAAAACCGTCGCGTAACGGGTGCGCCATAGGATGCGCCTTCGGCGGCCGAGATTAAACCCATCTCCGATCGGTTGCGCCATAGGTTGCGCCATCGGCGGCCGAGAATAGAACCGTCTCGCATCGGTGCGCCATAGGTTGCGCCCTCGGCGGCCGAGAATATATCGTTTCCTATCGGTTGCGCCATAGGCTGCGCCCTCGGCGGCCGAGAATCAACCTGTATACTATCGGTTGCGCCATAGGGTGCGCCCTCGGCGGCCGAGAATAAAACCGTCGCGTAACGGCTGCGCAATAGGTTGCGCCCTCGGCGGCCAAGAAACAACCCGTCTACCATCGGTTGCGCCATAGGTTGCGCCCCGCCGTCGGCGGCCGAGAACAAAACCGTGGCGTAACGGGTGCGACCAGTCGATTCAGTTCAGTTCAGTTCAGTTAGTTTACCTCGCGAGAAACAAATTCGGGGCCCGATTTTTTTAAGACATGCAACCATGATTGATCGTTAAAGTTGGGGTTTGACCTTCCTGTCCTGCCGCTTGCATGCCAAGCATCAAAGAACAAGGTGCGTGCTCGAAACGAAAAATCAGTCTTTGATATGTTGCTATAGACATATATACACTTATATATGTATGTAGACACATGTGTATGCACACTTGTGTATTGTCATCTCTCTCTCTCTCTCGCACTCTTTCTTTCCATGTGTTAATCCTTGTTGTTGAGTTGTGTGAATATGTATGTATGTGTCGCTCTCTCGCTCTCGCGTGTTCATGTTATGTTGCGCGCTCTGTCTCTCCATGTCTTCTTGATTTCTCTGTCTCTCTCTCTCTCTCTCTCTTTCTCTCCCGCTTTCTTCACCAGTGGAAAAGGAATGCACTGAAACGGGCCAGCAAGCAGCAGCAGGGGGAGCAGGGGCAGTGGGGGAGAGGCGCTATTGGACAAACGGGGGGATGGAGACAGACGCAGGAGGAGGGGAGGAGGAGGGGAAGTCGGACTGCATGCAAGTGCGGCCAGGCTGAGGGATGAAGGGGAAGAGGGCGGGGGAGCGGAGGAGGGGGCGGGGGCTTGATCGTCGTGGCTGTGGTCGTGGTGGTCGTGGTCGCCGTGGTTGTGGTAGTGGTGGTTGCGGTCGTCGTGGCGGTCGTCGTTGTGGTCCTGGTGGTGGAAGTGGTTGTCGTAGTTGTTTTGTTTGTTCTCTCTCTCTCCCTCTCTTCTTTCTCTGTTGTTTCTCTTTTTATATCTCTCTCTCTCTCTCTTCTTCTAGATCTCTTCCAGACACCCTCCCCCCCCGTAGGAACGAGTGTAAATATGGCTTCCCAGAGGAACAGGAAATGATGCGTGGGCTGGACGAGCTGCGGCAGTCGCTGCAAGAGCCGGAGCCGTGGACCCAAGCGCCCACATTTGAGGTCTTCTTTTTCCTTTTCCCCATATCCCGAGGAGAGGAAGGAAAAGGAGGAGGAGAAGGAAGACAAATGATGCAGGAGGATGAGGAGCAGCAGCAGCAGCAGGGCGATGGAGGAGGGAGGAGGGGGTGTGGAGGATGAGGAAGAGGACGAGAACGAGGACGAGGAAAAGGACGAGGAGGAGGAGGAGGAGTAGGAGGAGGAGCAGGGGAGGAGGAGGGGAAACGGGGGAACAAATAAGAAATAACAATTACTACGAATATTATCAATAAGAATACTATTACTAACCATAGGAATACGAATACTACGGATAATAAAAACGAATGCTGACATTATTCGTACGAGAACGAATGATACTGCTACTGCTACTACTACGACTGCTACTACTACTACTACTACTACTACTACTACTACTACTACTACTACTACCTACTACCACTACCACTACCACTACCACTACCACTACCACTACCACTACCACTACCACTACCACTACCACTACCACTACCACTACACTACAACTACTCCAACTACTACTACTACTAGTACTACTACTACTACTACTATTACTACTACTACTACTACTACTACTACTACTACTACTATTCATATTGCAACAACTACTACCACTTTTGCACTACGTGCGCGAACCGTTATATCACTAATGGTAGCGCTTGCCATTTTGATTTGAATGCGAATATTACGGCTGGTATTATCAACGGTAGTAATAATATTTTGGCGCACATGCATTCGAATCCTGATGTTGGTGCCACGCATAGCCATATCACTGTTAATGGTAATGCTGAGACTATTCGCCGTACTGCTAGTAAAGCTAATGTCAGTGATAAGAATGGTACGATTAACAACACCAGTCACAATACTGGCATGCCAATGATGATGGTGAGGGTGCAGAAGATGATGAGGATGCTATTGAACATAAGCCTGGTACTCGTATCAATAACAACCACAGCAACAACAATGATGACAACAAGCCGGGGACGTACCCAACCCTTTCCTATGCATGTGGCGAGTATACATCGGACCGCTCAATACAAAGGCAATCGTTGAATGATCCACAATGCCCTTGAACGCTTCGCCAAAGAACGTCGGGCCACAGTCAGAGGTTTCACATACGCGGCGTCACTCTTAAGAGTCAGGCCGTTGGCAGGAGAGCGACCACGAGGGGGCGTGGAAACATGTGGAGGAGGGGCGAGTGGAGACAGAGCCCGTGGGATTGTCAGCGCCTCCCGCTGTGTTTCGCATTGCAGGACAGCGCTCTGCGCACTATGACATCACAGCGCCTTGCGCTAAACGTAGCATGCGCCCGCATGTATTACAAGCAACAGGCGGCCGAAGAAGGGATACGGGCATGGGCAACGGACGGCGCCATGCGCTATTTGCTGCGCGGCGCTCGCACACGCCGCGTCACTCCGCTGGTCCCCCCAGAAGCCCATCGCAGCCCCCCAGGGGACGGCGAGGTCTCGTGGTGATCCGCGCAGGACGTACCTCCGCTGGCCCTCCCAGGAGCCCACGAAAGTGGCGACAGCCTAGCAGATCGCAGCCCCCCAGGGAGCGGTGAGGTCTCGCGGTGATCCGCGTAGGACGCACCTCCGTTGGGCCTCCCAGGAGCCCACGGAAGTGGCGACAGTTTCGCAGATCGCAGCCCCCCAGGGGTCGGCGAGGTCTCGCGGTGATTCGCGTATGAGGTCATCCTTCTGGCCTTCCCAGACGCCCGTAAAAGTGGCGATAGTTTCGTGGTCTCGTGGTCTCGTGGTGATCCGCGTATGACAACACTCAGCTGGCCCTCCCAGCCCCCCAGGGGGCGGCGAGGTCTCGCGGTGATCTGCGTATGATGTCACTCCACTGGCCCTCCCAGAAGCCCACGAAAGTGGAGACGGTTTCGCAGATCGCAGCCCCCGATGGGGCAGTGAGGTTTCGTGGTGATCCGCGCATGACGCCATTCCGGTGGCCCTCACGGAAGCCCACGAAAGTGGCGACAGTTTCGCAAACAGGTGGCGGCGAGGTCTCGTGGTGATCCGCGTATGAGGTCACTCCACGGGCCCTCCCAGAAGCCCACGAAAGTGGCGACAGAATCGCAGATCCCAGCCCCCCAGGGGCGGGAGGACTCGTGGTGATCCGCGTATGACGTCACTCCGCTGCCCCTCTCAGACGCCCACGAAAGTGTGGCGACAAGTTCGCAGATAGGGGGCTGCGAAGTCTCGTGGTGATCCGCGTATGACAACACTCAGCTGGCCCTCCCAGAAGCCCACGAAAGTGGCGACAGTATCGCAGATTGCAGCCCCCCAGGGGGCGGCGAGGTCTCGCGGTGATCCGCGCATGACCCTGCCAGAAACCCACGAAAGTGGCGACAGTTTTGCAGATCGCAGCCCCCCAGGGAGCGGCAAGGTCTCGTGGTGATCCGCGTATGACGTCATTCCGTTGGCCCTTTCAGGAGCCCACGGAAGTGGCGACAGTTGCGCAGACCGCGGGCACGAGGCAGGAGGCAAAAGGCAAACGGAAGGAGAGATGATGAGGAGGGAAAAGGGGGAGGCGAGAGGAGGAGGAGGAGGAGGAGGAAGAGGAAAGCAGGATAAGGGGAAACCACAGAGTTTTATTCAAAACGAGAACCCGACCAAGGGAGCGTTGGGAATTACATGATCACAAGAAGTATAGGCACACCAATAATAATAATAATCGTAAGGTGAATTCTACTATTAAGAATAATAAAGAATATGATCGGAGTACCTCTGATAATCATAATAAGCAGTTTGAGAACAATGATAATAATAATCAGGAGAAAAAGAAGAAGAGGACGACGACGAGGAGGAGGAGGAGGACCAGTGTAAACCCAAGAGTCATCAACGATGTTGGAATCGACCCTCCCTCCAAGCTTCCTTTTCATAGGCCCTTACAGTGGTTCATGTCCATTGAGGGAAATGCCTCGTTGGAAGACAACCGTTTGAAAATCCGGAAGCATGCCAAAACATTGTTCTCGGGATTTCAACGCCACGGATCAACCTGACTGCTGCGTCTCGACGATCCGGAATCGTTCCATGATGCTAGTGTTGGGCCTTCAACACCGCGAACCAACATAATTTCCGCACCCGCAAAATCTTGAATCTTTCCAAAAGACCATTCCTGGTGCGTTGATCGTGGGAACCCCTGAAATTTTTGCAATGTTTAAACCAGATGTGCGCGGTGCTAAGGCGAGGGCCACATTTTGGAAACGTCCCGCCCTCAATCCGTGAAGCTCTTACAATTTGCTTCAACGAATGTCCGCGGCGCTAAGACGAAAGCCACATTTTGAAAACCCCCCGCCCTCAATCCGTGAGGCTCTTGCAATTTGTTCGACGAATGTGTGCGGCGCTAAGACGAAAGCCACATTTTGAAAACCACCCGCCCTCAATCCGTGAGGCTCTTGCAATTTGTTCGACGAATGTGTGCGACGCTGAGGCGACAGCCTCATTTTGAAAACCACCCGCCCTCAATCCGTGAGGCTCTCACAATGTTTTAAAACGAATTTGTTCGGCGCTAAAGCGAGAGCCACATTTTGAAAACCACCCGCCTACAATCCGTGAAGCTCTTACAACGTTTTAAAACGATGTTGCGCGGCCCTGAGGCGAGAACCACATATTGAAAGCCACCCGCCTTCAATCCCTGAAATTCTTACAATGTTTCAAAACGAATGTGGGCGGCGCTAAGGCGAGAGCCACATTTTGAAAACCACCCGCCTTCAATCCGTGAAACTCTCACACTGTTGTAAAAATAATGTCCGCGGCACTAATGCGAGAGCCACATTTTGAAAACCACCCGCCCTCCATCTGTGAAAGTGTTGCCACTTTTAAAGCTTCAGAGTCATATATGGTAAGGAAGTTTCAGGCGAAACGCACGGCCCGCCCTAAAAACTTGCTTCGGGGCGCGATAGGGAGAGGTTATTTATAAGGATAAGAAATGGAGGAGGAGGACGAGGAGGAGGAGGAGGAGGAGGGAGCAAATGGAAGAAGGTGGAGCAAGAGGAGGAGGAGGATAATGGTCCGGCGAGATTCGGCTGGGGCCCCAAGGCTGGCTCCGAGGGGGCCTCGTGGCGGGGCGGGGGGAAGTCGGGCGCGCTCCGACAGGAGGAGGGCGCCGAGGAGCCTGCCGCGGAGGAGGAGCCCGTCCAGGTGCTCCCCTCTCCTCCCCTCGTCCGCCTCCCTATGCCTCCGTCCCTCTTCCCCCCTCCCTCCTCGCTCCTCTCTCTTCCCTCCCTAGAGCTCCAGCGCATTGACACATTCAGGCCTGAGCTGTTGTCAGCCGCTTTCGGCCCCTGGGGGCCCTCGCTGGGCTTCGGCACCGTCAAAGAACGACTCGGTATGCAAAGCTGGCCCTGGGGAACGGTTCGGACATCTGTGGCCAAGGGCTCCCCCGAGGGCGCGAAGTTATTCGCGCTTCGCGCTTCGCGGTCCTCGTTCCTTCTCCCCCTCCTCCTCGTCCTCCTCTTCTCCCTTTGGGGGGGCGGCGCGAGAGCGCGAAGTTATTCGCGCTTCGCGCTTCGCGCAGCGCGAAGCGCGAAGTTGGGAGCCCTTGCGGGGAACGGTTCGGACATCTGTGGCCCAGCGTCGAACAAACATCGAGAAATCGGACGCCTGGACGCCTGGACTCTTCGTCCGCACCCTTACCTCCCTCCCTCCTGTTCTCCCCTCCCTCCCTCCCTCCCCTGTCCCCCTCGCTTCCCCCCTCCCCGTGCTCCTCCCGTTTCCCTCCCCTGCCACCTTCCCCCCTCCCTCCACTCCGCCTCCTCTCCCTCCCCACCCGAGCGAGGCTCCGGGGAAGATCCCCGCCTGGCGGGGACGGGCCGAGGAGGCCCGACAGCGCTCCCGAGGCGGCGGCAGGCGGCGGGTCCGCAGTCCCGCGCGGCCGCGGGCCGAGCGCTCAGGCGGCTGCGTCGTGCTCACCGGGGTGCCGCTCGGGTATCCAGGGCAACAGCGCGAGGGTACGAGGAGAGGAGGGGGGAGGATGAAGCGGAGGAGGCCGGAGGAGGAAGGGAGGAGGAGAAGGAGGGGGGAAGGAGGAGGAGGAGGAGGAGGAGGAGGAGGAGGAGGAGGAGGAGGAGGAGGAGGATTGTCACGGCTGGACTACTAGGGTACGGGAGGACCCTTTCACCCCCAAGCTCAACAATGATGGATGAATGGGTGTCTCTACCTCGTGCCCACGGGGGGGATGTACAGCATTCACTGGCTATCATCCCCTCCTCACTCCAATGCCCATTTCGGATCCGATCGGATCCGGGCTGGGGGGTGGCATCCCTTGCGGGGAAGCGAACGTCTTCCAGCACGGGTCCATGCTGTTAGCTCGTCCGCCAAACGTCCGGCACAAGGTGTAAGGCACACCCACCGACAGCTCACACATCATATTATTTGCGCGGGATTGCGAAAACCCGGTTGCCGCCACCCCCACCCCCACACACACACAAACAAACACACTCACACACACGCACCACACACAGACACACACGCATACACACACAGACACACACACACACCACACACACACATGCACACGCACAGACACACAGACACACAAACACACATACACACATCTCGCAGGTACACAAATGCAGATTCGTGTTCATGCCATTGCTGTCTACAGCCCCGCCTTGCACGGCGGACTAGTCCTGCCACCCTCGAATGCCCGAGGGCGGAAACTGTGACAACGCGGATTCTGGATGGGGGGGACTATATCACCCTCAGCCGCCTCAGTCCCCGCCGGCGGGGCTGACCGCGCCAGCTCACTCAGGGAGTGATCCGTCCCCCCTGAGTGTCCCTCGCTTTTTCCCCCTCCCCGATGCCGCCCGCTCCGTCCCTCCTACCCTTCGTTCATGCTGGCCAATTCGCTACAACTGTGCCCCCGTTTAGTTAGCTTCTTCCGCCAGCGCAGACGAACCCTGCGTAGCCACCGACGCAAAAAGTTTGCAATCTTGAGGCGTTGGTGCCGGCTGAAGGCGACACAGGATCCTGACGTCACGACGATGGCGGCCAAGAGGTGGCGGAATCGGGTCTGGCTCACAACATCACGCCAACAAAGTGTGGCTATGTTTGCCCCCCTTCCGTTTGCCCTCCGACAAGGCCGCGGCAGACAATGACGGACTAGCGACGAATGCACATCATTGACTTTGCAAGGCAAACGTATGATGGATCAACGCCCCAGAAAGCGTGTATACTGTTTTACTGGGAGGGGTACTGGCCGATCTCCTTTGAACCGGCCGGCTGGAGGCTACATATGAACTCTTATAGTCCGTAGCTCTCTGCCTCTGTGCACCAAAACGCATCCCTCCTTTCGTTGTGGGGGGAATATCGCGTAGCGCTCCTGTCGGAACGCGCTGCTAGGGCAAAGTATGAAGGGTATGCACCCCCGAATGCGATGTCTCTTGGAGTCCGTAGCCCTCTGCCTCTGTGCCCCAAAGACCTATCCCAGAATGGGCTGTGCAGACAGGGGGACGGAGCTCCTAGTAAGCCTCTGTCGCCCCAACCCTCACTCCTTGGCTCGCCTGGTAGAGATGCTCGTCGGGTGCCTGCGCGGACCCTTAGAGGCTGCCCTGTGCGTCTTCGACCAGCTTGCGGACCAGGGAGTAATGGGGGTCTTTGGCACAGGGAGGAGGAGGACGAGGAAGAGGAGGAGGAGCGGGAGGAGGAGGAGGAGGAGGGGGAGGAGGAGGAGGAGGAGGAGGAGGAGGAGGAGGAGGAGGAGGAGGAGGAAGAGGAGGAGGAAGACGAGGAAGACGCGAAAAACGAGGAAGGCGAGGACGACGAGGATTACGAGGACGACGAGGAAGAAGAGGAGGAGGAGAGGAGGAGGGGGAGGAGGACGAGGAGGAGGAGGAGGAGGGCGGAGGAGGAGAGCGTAGGAGGAGGAGGAGGACGAGGAGGAGGAGGAGGAGGAGGAGGAGGAGGAGGAGGAGGAGGAGGAGGAGGAGGAGGAAGGGGGGGGATAAGGAGGAGGAGGAGGAGGAGGAGGAGGAGGAAGAGGAGGAGGACGAGGAGGGAGAGGAGGAGGAACAAGAAGAGGAGGGGGACGCAAGACGCAGCATAGAACGGCGAAGCATTCGAGAACGCAACGACGACTATATAATACTGGGCGAGGGTGATACAACGAACACCAGCCCTCAAGGAAAACCAAGCAAATTACGGATTAGACTGGACGAGCCTGATCCCAGTTGTTGGGTGCCTGCCTTCCGAGAGCCAGTCCCTGGCTCGCCGGCGGGCAGGGTTAGAGGGCTTCGTGGGGCAGAGCTCACCGAGGGCCTCGATCTTGGCCGAGCCCAGGGCAACTCGGGCCCCGCAAAGCCCACAGAACAGGAAGGACCCTGCCCTGTGAATATGGTGCCCGTCGCACACGAGAAGACTCCCACCCGCCACCGCATCCAAACAGGCAGCAGCAGCGGCATAGGCAGCCTCACCCTCCCCCTCGGCATGCTGGCGCCAACCGAGCCGCTCGGCAAGAGCAGCAAGCTGGCGCAGCATCGGCCCAGGCTCACACTTAGCCCCTGTGCGTCCTCTACCAGCTTGCGGACCAGGGAGTACTGGGGTCTTTGGCACGGGGAGGAGGACGACGAGGAAGAGGAGGAGGAGTGGGAGGAGGAGGAGGAGGAGGAGGAGGAGGAGGAGGATGAGACGGAGGAGGAGGACGACGAGGAGG